GTGTGTGTGTGTGTGTTGTTGTTGCAACAACAAAGCAAGTTATTTGATGAACAAAGAAACACATGAAGAACAAAGAAACCCATTACACATTACATGTGTGTGGCAAGACTACTGCTACTACTACTGCTCACCCCAGCCCTCTCTTCCGTGGAGCGTGTCGACAAAAGATGCATAAATTGCTGCCTTGGACTCCATACATGGCTTGGAGGTGGTCTCATTCAAGCTAGCTATCTACGTACAAACCGGCTGCAAATTGACACAGCTTGCTGGATGACACAGTTTCAGACTCAGACAGCGCATAACAAACTGGCTGCGTGTTTTCTTTTCAGCTTTTCTGAGCTGGCAGACAATCCAGGAACCTAACTAAATGCAAGAAAAGCTAAAAAAGTGAAAATTTCATCCGATTTCCTCTTTAATGCACAGACTTAAGATTCACAAGTGTGTAGAACAGTCAGTGATGAGTATACTGAGCATATTGAGTGGATGCTCCACTGACTAAGTAAAACAACTGTGATTGGGCACTATGTTCATTGCGTTCGGTGCTGAATTGCCAAGACATGAGGGACACTGGCTTACTGCCTTTATAAGTTTAAATTTTAACAGTATCGCAATATACAAGATATACCATCATTTTATATCGTCAGCAAATATGACAATATTTCAGGTATTTCTGCTGTTTATATTGTAAATCTGCTTGTTTACATTGATTGCATTTTACATTTTGTGTTTTTTTTAGCATTTTAATTTAGAGTAGAGTTTAACTTAACTTATTTTGAATATATTACAGTAATAATTTAAATGCTTTAAGTCATCCTCTGGCCCCTTCTGGAAGTTTGCCGAGGCCCCCTGGTTGAGAACCATTGATGTAAGTGGGTTTTTTCAAGACAAATGTTTTGTTTATTTATTATAGAAATACCTTTCAAATAAGACTGAATCACGCGGAGTTCAACAGGTTTCACCAAAGCCATATTAAGGGTCAGACCAGTAAAAGTAGTGCCTTAAAGTGCACATTTACAGTGAATATGCTTTTCTCCTGATTTTCTTTGATCTAAACATCAACTGTAATGAGAATGTCAGATGCATTGCTTTAGAGATGAACAGCAATAATCATGCAAATACTAAGATTCAAAAATAAACTTGATGTCCTAGCAACAAGATGTTGGAAGCTTATTTCTCAAATTTCATTTGAATGATAGTTGTATGGTTTATTTCCATCACATGTATGCACAGTGCAAACAGGGTTTTATATTAAAGTAATACAATTGTGAGCTACCCTTTTCGGTAATGTAATCACTTCCAGACATATAATCTACCTATGCCAAATTGGAGGACCTTTTATTATAACCGATCAATCTCAGAATATTTTTCATTCTGAGGTTTAATCACATATTGATTGTTTAGATACATTTGGAATCTCTTTAGGAATTTGAAATGCACAAGCATCTCTGCCCAACTGACTGGAACACTGTCAGCAGTCTCACAGTGTTGCTTGATGATGTCAAGGGAGCTGCATGACTATTATTAAACTGTATACTGCAGAAGAACCACCAGACAGTCCACTTGAAAACTTTGTGAAGCTGCTCTACACTTACAAAAAATAAACGTTCTTTGGAGAGCCAAAAATGGTTCTTTTATGGCATTGCTGCGGAAACCCATTCTTGTAACCTTTATTTTCAGCAGTAGCAGTAGCAGTGGATAATATGAAGGAAGTGGAGGACGAAATATTTTAGAAATGGCTTTCTATTATGTGGAAATATGGATTATTATTATAATTTTTTTAATTAAATAGTTTGACGAAGTGTTATCTTACGGGCATCTCTGAGTAATACATTTTGCTTGTGGTGTGTTGATATCTCCAGCTGCACAGTAATGTTCGGCATTGTTTGTGGTTACAACTCAGTGTAAAAAGGGCATAAAATTGTAATGTGTGTAAATACAGTTCATGTTTTTTTCAGTTTCTGTGCTACAAGGCTGTATGCATCAATTCCCTAGTAACTGGAAGGTTGTAGTAATTGGAAGTCTATGCAGGGAGCTTCTTCATAAAGATGTGAAGGTCTCTAATCAGTCATTCATTCAGAACATTCTTGCACTCTCAATTAAACCACACAATGGAAAGAGCAAATTTAGGACTAATGGAAATGTGAAAGATGAACTGATTTGTTAACCAGTTTTGTAAAAAACGTGTTTTACTCTAGAAAGTCACAAATGTCAGAGTTTGGTTTTCAGCAGTAAACTGCACTTAAGAATATTTAAACCAGACAAAAATGTAAAATATTTTTTCCCCCCAAAAAATCTAATGTAAATCAAAATCTAATCTTATCTAATCATAGAAAGTCTAATGGGGGTGGGGGTGCTGGGGGGAACTTGGATTATGAAATTAGATGTGACCTACGGGCATATGACAGTAAACCCAAGTGGACAGGCTGCACTATCTCCCACAGCCACACTTTCATGCATGTTAAATTAAATATGTCATCTAACTTGGCCAAGGTCCATTCCACATTTCTTTAATGTAGAAAATACAAAGGTAAGGCATTAATGGATGCATTTCCATTCAGCTTTAATTCTTGTTATATTTCTTAATATATTTTTGTTCTAGCAGCATTTTAATATCGCCCTGCACAATGTTAAATTTATAACAAAGACTTATAACTCACTTATAACTCATAACTGAGAAAATGACTTTAATTGAGGCAGAATATCAAGCAGAAATGACAGCTCCAATACCCTTTTGATACACTTTTACATTAATTGAAAACCTTTCTTTCATAATTACAGAGAGTGAATCTTTTAATTTCTTTCATTTCCTCAGGGTATTTAGAAGTTCAACCCTTCTCACTCCCTCACAGACTCAATAAGCAACCAGAAATGAGACGGAGAGAGAAAGTCACCACTAACCCTTTGATAACCACACCAACACACACTCAGTTTTATATAATGCACTCTCCTTTTGAAATGAGACTATTTTTATGGACTGTTTTTGAAAAATCTGTCATTATTTTCTCACCCTCATGTTGCTCCAAACTGTATGACTTTCTTTTTTTCTGTGAAACACATAAGGAAGGTTTTCTTTAGCAGAAAATCTCAGATCTGTTCTTTTCCATACAATTAAAGCACATTATGATAATTTTGAGTGAGACTTCAAATCTGATTTGTGAATCAGTTGTGTTTCCATTGATTGATCCCAAATGTGTCTTGATGGGCCAAGCTTGGAAATTAAAATGACATTTGCTAATGATATCCCCAATAAAGCTATCTGATGACTTCAGAAGATACACAATGAAGAAATAAAATGAGCCCTTTGTTTTGGACAGGCAGGTGAAGATGGTGAGATTACAGCTGAAGAACAGGTGCAGATGCTGCTGGATGCGAAGCTGCAGTGTCTACAGAAGGTCTCCACAGATGACCCTGCAGGTAGAGACCGTTTCCACTGAACGTTTATTTCACACAGCTTTTAATTAAGTGGCCTTTCCAGTTCTCCACTTCAGCCATGTTGTTGTTGTGCACCACCTAAATTTCAAAATTAAAATGACATTTGCTAATGATATCCCCAATAAAGCTATCTGATGACTTCAGAAGATACACAATGAAGAAATAAAATGAGCCCTTTGTTTTGGACAGGCAGGTGAAGATGGTGAGATTACAGCTGAAGAACAGGTGCAGATGCTGCTGGATGCGAAGCTGCAGTGTCTACAGAAGGTCTCCACAGACGACCCTGCAGGTAGAGACCGTTTCCACTGAACGTTTATTTCACACAGCTTTTAATTAAGTGGCCTTTTCAGTTCTCCACTTCAGCCATGTTGTTGTTGTGCACCACCTAAAGTTCACCTAGAAATAGTAACATATTTACCAAAAGTATGACCATCATCACCTCTGCAAAAACATGTTTTCTATAAAGCTTGAATGAGTCGGTCACGCACATAAATAAGGCTTGCAGACATAAATGAAATAAACTGAGACGGACAGCTAATGAGACTCCTTCAAGACCTTTGTTAGGCACAGCTCTTGGTTAGGCACTGCACAGTTTGTTAATTCATTTAGTTTCAAAGTATGACCATCATCACCTCTGCAAAAACATGTTTTCTATAAAGCTTGAATGAGTCGGTCACGCACATAAATAAGGCTTGCAGACATGAAATAAACTGAGACGGACAGCTAATGAGACTCCTTCAAGACCTTTGTTAGGCACAGCTCTTGGTTAGGCACAGCACAGTTTGTTAATTCATTTAGTTTCATTATAAACTTGTCACAGGTGATTAGGCAGAACATGTGAAGGGGGAAAATACACAAGCTCTGTTGGAGATGACTCAATGTAAAATGGCCTTCTTTGCTGTTTTATTAGTAGTGACTTAGCAACTCAAAAATATTAATTTGGCTTACTCCCACCTCTCTTTTTTCTTAACATCATAGGTTATGTGTAATTCAGGAAGATAAAAATAATTGTGTTCTTTACAAGGAAATTATGTGCAGAGGACATGGGTGCAATGACTGGTATCTACATTGCAAAACACATTTAGTTTTAAACTGGCATGTGACAACAAATCCAGACTCATTAGAGCCAATTTGCACTAGGAGAAATTTTTAGCATAATTGCGACTAATTTTATATTGTGCATGTGTTCTTTTGGTATCTGAACTTATTTTTGCCAACTTAAGTCAACGTAAAATCAAAATGAAAATCTAAATACTCTCTTAATACATACTGTATATATTTTCTAAAGACTTGGTATCTTTCAGCTGACATCACCTAGGCCACATGAGATATCACAAGAAAAATCTGATATTTTTGCTTAAAATATCAAAATTGATCTTTTAATTTATGCATTTTTAGTGGATGTGCTAAACATTATTTTACAATTAAACATTAAACTAGGAGTATGCTGTCATCTCGTCATTAAATTATGTTAGCTTAATGTGTGGTCACATTTCAATTTTCACGGTCACATTTTTTTTTTTCATTTTAATGGAAATCCACACAATCAGGAATTTTGTGTGAGGGTAAAAAGTGAGGGTTGGTCACATGAATTTATCACATTGGCAAACAGAAACCTGCTTGGTTTGAAAGTGACTTCTGTGTGAGCAGTGTTTTATACATTGCTACACTATTGACAATACACAATCGACCTTTATTTGCCCATAATATTTAGCTGAAATTTTACTAATGTGACTGCACTATTAAATTGTAAGAACCCTCAAAATTTGGAAATATGCAAATTTGAAAAGAACCGAGGATTGTAGTAACATTGCTTGTTCCTGCGATCAGGAGGTTGTGTGATATCTGAACCAGGCTTGTTGACATGTCAAGATGTTCTTATGTTTGAACCTTCAGCCTCCACATTCCATTCAAAAAGTCTTCTCAAAAGCAGATGCCTGCTGCATTTCAGTTGTTTTCACGATTTTGCATCATTGTTCATGATGGATGAAATCAAGCCCCATCCTTCATTGTCTTCTTGTTTCCTGTTTCACTTGAAAATGGATAACAAATTACTGTTTCATGTTAACTGTAAGTAGCATTAGAACAGCTCAAGACTTTCTCTGAATCATTCCGAATGGACAGTTTGAAAGCACTTAATGGTCTATTGTTTTCAAGCTTCATTGCTTCTGTGGTCTGATGTTGTCAAAAATCTGTGGCTGCTGGACTGACTCTGTTGAAACCACTGCTGATATATTGAACATCTTTAACTGTTTGACATTTATTGCATAATTTTTCTTAAGCATTGTTTTATTTCAATCAATCATTAGTCATTGTTACAGTTATACATTGTTCAGTTGTTTTAGCACAAAATGATAAGTGCATTGATCAAGTTCAGTGTTCATAATTTAATTAAACACATAATTTATTGCACAAGCACACTTGCTGCCTCTGCATGATGTGGCAGTGTGAGCCTCTGGGCACTCATATTAGGCCATGCCAGATGGATATAATCCAGTATCCTTGCACAAAATAGAAAACATGCCCCATAGGTGTTCAGATGATACTATGAGTGATATTTTTAATTTAGCGGATTTTATCCAAAGAAAAGCATAAATGATTCATTTGGAGATGGGAAGGATGTATGACGGTTTCCTACTGGGCTTTTACTGTAGCTCATTTTATATTTATCTTGCTGCAGGATTTACTTTAAAGATCAGGAAGGAATGAAAATGTGCTAGACTCATGTCTACATGTCTGTCATGTTATGCTACAAGACTGGGTGATTTCACGTGTCATATCTGAACTTGTCCATTGGTGAATTGACATCTCTGCCCTGAAACTGTTCTGCTCTTAGTTGGTGTGTGTGTCCCAGAGTGGGATGGTCTGATATGTTGGCCGCAAGGCTTCCCTGGAACTCTGACCAAGACCCCCTGTCCCAGATACATCTATGACTTCAACCATGCAGGTTTGAAACATTTGTTCTCTCTCCGTGTCTCATCAACTTTTGTTTTTTTTCTTCCAGTTGTTAACATGCATCATTGTTAGCTCCAATGGAATATTTGTTAATTTGAACTTAAAAAATGAATGAACAACAACAAAACCACACATAATTTGAAAATTGTATTAGTTCAAGATCAAGAGAAATTAAGTCAGGATAATGAGAAAACTTTTATTATGTCGAAAACATGAGAAATTTAAGTCTTGACAACGAGAAAACAACTTTTATTATGTCAAGATCATGATAAATTTAAGTCGTGACAATGAGAAAACAAGAAAGAAAAATAATAATCCATGGCCTCTTAGGGCCTCTTTACCTTAGTCAGTGTAGCACCATGTTTAATTTTTGACCATATTGAACAAGGCTGTGAGAGATAGAGGTACAGTGCACATACTAATTGTTCAGCTGGCGAAATGTCTTTCCAAAAAAAAAAAAAAGACAAAAAAGTAGACAAAAATTCCATAAAGCAGTTTTGAAAGTAATGAAAATGACATGATCTAGGACCTTTATAAAGTGTGTGCCATTGTAAATACTGTAAGTCTGTCCCTTAAAGCTTCATTTTTATCCGTGTTAAATTCAATACCTCATCTAACCTCAAAGCTGTCTATTATTAGTGAATGAGAACCAATCTCTTCTGTTGGAAATTATAATATTACCCATACTATTTCTGAAGTGTGCAGTTTGTATACTATGTGCATATGTGAATTATCTGGATACGTGGAATACCCACAGTGCAACTTTCTTGATTTTAACTTCAATTCTTAGTGTGATTAAAAAAGAACTGGAAATTATTTATTTGTAATATTTAATCGTTCTTGACTCATTATTTGATTGATTAACATAGAAAGAAAGATTACAAATGTAACATAAACTAACATTTACTACAGTTTTACATTTGTATTGTTGCATAATGTGTACTGTTCCATACTGGCTGTGTTCAGTAAGTCTTTGTCAATCTTCCAGAACACGCTTACAGGAGGTGTGACTCTAATGGTTCCTGGGTGCTTGCAGAGAGCTCAAACAAGACCTGGGTCAACTACACTGAATGCATCAAATCCCCAGAACCCAACAAAAAGAGAGTAAGCTTCATTACAGTCATTCGTCTTTAATGGACCGAGATCACTTTCTAGGTGGCTTGACGCACCAACTCTTTGTCCCCACAGCAGGTCTTTTTTGAACGACTGCACATCATGTACACAGTAGGCTATGCAGTTTCCTTCAGCTCTCTTCTAGTGGCCATCTTTATTATTGGATACTTCAGGTGAGTAACTGACTGAGTGTGTATGTGTGTGTTTGATGCACTTCATCTCATAAACTGCAAAAAAAAAAGAGTTTAACTTATGCTTTAAATAGTTTTCGTGGATTAAAGGGGTCATATGCGATTTCAAGTTTTCCTTTCTTTTTGGAGTGTTGCAAGTTGTTCGTGAATAGATAAGATCCCTAAAGTTGAAAAGACTAAAGTCTCAAACCCAAAGAGATATTCTTTATAAAAGTTAAGACTCGTCCACGCCCTCCTAAAACACCTTGTTTAAACACGCCCCCACATGTCTATGTCACTGTGTGGGAAGATTTGCATAACGCCGCCCAAATGTTCCCGCAAAGAAAGAAGGCGTAACTTTATTATTGCTGCCACTGCCGCCACCATGTTGTGGAGACGATGTGTGTTTCGTTGCGAAAGCGAAAATACTTTGTTAGGCCTTCCAAAAGAGGACACGACTAGAAATCAGTGGTTAAGTTGTATTTACAACACTGTTCCAGAACACTTCAACCC